GGCCCGCCCCCCTCCACCCGCACGCCTTACCCTTCAGGCTCCACCTTAGATAACACTTTCCCGGGGAAGCTTAACCGGCTGTTCCCAGAACCCCATGCTCCCCCTGTGCTGACAGCACCCTCCCCGCCTTCCTGCACCCCACTTCCGCTCCCTCCCTGCACTGCACGCTTGTGAGAGCAGGGATCACGGGAGCCCCCGCGCTGGCCCCAACCCACCTGAGAGCCCCCCTCCCAGCCCACACACCACGCGAACAGCTTCCCACCGGGAATTCGTAGAGACCCGGACAACTATGAGTTGGGGTGGAAGATTCCGGGGACCCCGCACTGCAGTGGCCTGGCTTTGGGGAGAGGCCGCCCTCTCCTTACCCACTGCCCTTCCCTGGAGCTGAGTCTCACCCGGATGGGTGTTACCGGCCATGCCTCACCTGCGCCTTTCTCTGGCGGCGGGTCCCTTCTCTCCTCCACCTTCTCCCTCCAGACCCCCTTCATTCGTCTTTTTCTGGTTCTGTGTGACTGACGGTCCCTGCCTGTCTCCTGCTCACTCCCATCCATGAAAACACAGCACAGGCGTTTCTCAGGCCTTCCCACCGCCCCCACCTTCCGAAACCTTCAGCTGCCGGCTCCAGCGAGCGCAGCTCCGCGGGGCTCTCGAAGCTGGGCCGCCAAGTGCCGCCACCATGCGCTGGACCCGGCCTGTCCACGGGGGTACCTCGCGGCCAAACCCGCGTGCTTTATACATGAAAGCACTTGAAAGCGGTGCCAGGAGTGATCTTTAAAAGGCTGTCACCCAGTGTACGGGGTGTGGGTGAGCGTGTTTATGTGCTGGACAGGCAGGTTTGTTGTTAGGTAACCAAACGTTGGAAGTTGTTGGAAGTTCTCGCTTAGCGTTTTTTTCTTTCATTGTCTTTCTTTCCCTCTCCTCTCTGTGGCTTTCTCTGCCTCTGTCTTTCTCCTCTCGTCTTCCCTCGCAGGCCTCCCCTGGCCCTGGCCCTCTGCCTGCTGTCCCCCCATCGCATTGGCCAGCGTCCCCCTCAGAGGGGTTGGGGGCGTTACCGTGGGCCTCGGGGGTGCAGAGGTAGGAGGCCGCGGGCCCCAGCGCCGCCGCCGCGCTC